AAGTGGACATGGAGAAAGAAGCACACGTCGACTGCTAGTTCTTCCTTTCTTTTCTCCTTCCTTACAGTCTTGACCTCAGAGCTCTGTAAAGAGATGGTACCAGGCACAGAAAGAAAGGAAGACAGGAGAGAAAACCCAGACGTGACACACAAAGACAGGAGATATGTGCAAATGCACACACATACTCTTGTTGTGAATATCATATTTTCCAGTTAGATTCTTGTGAAAAGAATATGAATAGACATGTCCATGAATCTATGTACAGACTTGTAAAGATGTAAAGAAAGACACATTCATATATAGTTATTGCTCTGAGGAGATTGTTGCTCAAACAGTAGATATGCTTTTTTGGTTTTAGAAAATTATGTAATCATGCATTTCACAAATCGTTCTCCTGGATCATCCCAAGTATGGGCTTTTACTGGAAAAAGCAACAAGATACAGCAGCTCACAGACCTTATATAACAACAGGAGCGATCAAGATAATAACACACACGATAAGAACCAGAATGAGTCTAAAAATACCAGGAGGTGTCAAAAAGAGAGTTATTAGGCAATGCGAATTATGTAACTCAGACAAATTGCTATAATCAATCATGTATAATTTTAAAAAGATGGGCAGTTGCCAACTATATTTAGTATATTTTTTATTTATTTACTTAGTTTTATTATTTCACATTTATTATTTACTATTAGGCCCACTAATTTTATGTATTTATTTACTTACTGCCAATATATATATATATATATATATATATATATTGGTTGGTTTTATATAGTGGCAGTTAATATATAGGTCTCTAATGCCCTCTGCTGACCACAAAATGACAATATTTCTAGAGGGCATATGCTTATGTCTCCTTTTTTTGTTCAACACTAAGGAAAAACGGATTTATGAGGCATAACAGTAATAACATAAATCATCGTCACAACATCAAATAAACCTTATATCACGTTTGAAAATTATTTTAAAACTCTTTTAAAAATAGTTTATATATATTCAAATGATTGATGCTTCTAAGAAGACTCAGCTTATGAATATTAATTATGTCATGCTGTCTTTATTTGCTTGCTACACCTTCTTGGAGCCTCAAGTCACGGACCTAATTAATATGAATATTTCTCAATATTTATAGCCAGCGGCTAATTCTCCCAAGTCAGCTAAAACACAAAAGCAACATTTATGTCATTTATCGGGCAAAAAGTCAACACTTAATAGCGTAAATTAAAAGTAGCTTTCCTCACCCTGTTGAAAAAACCAGCATATGCTGGTTAGGTATGTTTTGACGCTAGGATGCTGGTTTATGCTGGTCCTTTTGCTAGTTTATGCGTGTCCTTTGCCAGCACAGGACCAGTTTAAACCAGCAAAGGACCAGCATAAACCAGCAAAGGACCAGCTTAAACCAGCAAAGGTCCATCTTAAACCAGCAAAGGTCCATCTTAAACCAGCAAAGGACCAGCATAAACCAGCAAAGGACCAGCTTAAACCAGCAAAGGACCAGCTTAAACCAGCAAAGGACCAGCTTAAACCAGCAAAGGACCATCTTAAACCAGCAAAGGACCAGTTTAAACCAGCAAAGGACCAGCTTAAACCAGCAAAGGACCAGTTTAAACCAGCAAAGGACCAGCTTAAACCAGCAAAGGACCAGCTTAAACCAGCATCCCAGCGTCAAAACATACCTAACCAGCATATGCTGTTTTTTTCAACAGGGCAGAACGTTTCAAATAAATCGATAACGTCGTCATGAGGCAAAATTGCAATTTTGACTTTTAGTCAAGTCGTGGTGAAGTTGCCAAGTGTTGCGTGATTAATATTCATAAACCAAACCAATCTTGCTAATTTGCCAGCTGACGACGCCAACTTCACCAACGTCTGCAGTTCAGTCAATTAATATTCATAAGCCAATCCTTCGCTTTTAGGATTCGCTTATTCGCCAGATAAACCTCGCCAACGTCTGCAGTTCAGCCAATCGGAAGAGCCAACTGGACAACCGTAACGCTACCTCATTAATATTCATAAGCCAGTCCTCCATTATTCGCGGATAGAGAGCGCTGCTGCATACAAGAACAACTTAATGCTGAACTTTCATCTGTCACGACAACAAAGTATAACTTTCCTCCATGGAGAGAACAAATCTGCTGTAACTTGCTGTGAGGCTAAACCAATGGAAACAACAAATAACAACAACGAGGACTCGAAATTAACTCCAGGTATTTATAGATTTCACTAAGAGCGATTTTGAAAGGGTTTTAGTTTTGCCCAGCAGACAACAACACAATAAGAGTCTGTTTTTTTTTTTGTTTTTTTTTTGAGAGAGAGAATGTATTATTTATTGTTAGTTCTATTTTATTGTATTTCGTTTCCATGATGAGACTTCTAGTAATGTTGTTTTCTGATGATCGGATTTGAGTCCGTTGTGTTGAACAGATATAACGTTACGTGTCCAACAGCTGCTGATCAGCTCTGGGCTTTAATCACAGATGCAGGATAAGACCGAGGCCTTAAACACGTTTTGGTTAAACAAGTAAAAATGGTTTGTCACATAATAACACATTGCATGCTTTGCTATGCATTATCAGTGCATATGGCCTCGAGACCAATGAGTACTACATATACTGAATTATTAAAGCATCATATGTTTGTGGAAATGCCTTATGCAAAGCAGAATGTTATAATAACAGAGTTTTATGTGGTCTCCAATATCAGAAATCATGCACATTATGTTGGATCTGGAAGCTACACCCTTTTCAATATTCACATGAAGAGTTCAGATGCAAAAGCCTCTAATTTTCTCAAATTCTCATTTCTAGACATTCCGTCTAAAATGAGCATTTTTATCAGGCTTCTATATTTATGTTCAGTTATTTCACTTTAATTGCATAGAAAAGGACCTATTAGAGTAAAATTACTGAACCTAAATGAATAAAAATGCTCATTTTAGATGAAAATTTCAGATGGCACTTGGAGGCTTTTGCATCTGAACTCTTCATATATTAAACTTACAAAATCACACAAAAGAATTTTCTTCTTCAAGCAAGAAAATAAGGTCATACAATTATTAAAAAACGGACGAATATTAGAAGCTTTTTCTACTTGGACCCCTGTAATAAGCGTGTAATGAAAATGTGGAGGACTAGATGGGATGCAACAAAGTTTATGTGTATCTGTTATTGAACACTTACCCATTCTTTACAGGAACTTTGTAAATTTTTTGATTTTGCATTTTGTCATTTTATTGTTACAGACCCAGGAGGACAGAAGCGTGATCAGTCACCAGCAGAGAAAGTGTTTGGTCGGCAGCTGAGTGAACCCGGGCGCTTTGCATACGCTGGGTTATGTGGAGTGTCTTTGGGCCAGCTGTTTCAAGGACCTGAGCAAAAGTAAAAAAATATATATATATACAATAACAATAATAACACTTTATTGTGCTGTTTACTAATATACAGTAGCATTAGAAGGTTTGGGTTGGTAAGGGAAAAAAGTCTCTTATGCACACTGAGGATGCATCATTAAAAAAATACAGTAATAATAACAGTAAAATAGTGAAATATTATTACAATTTAAAATAAGTGTTTTTATTTGAATACATTTTAAAATGTATTTTATTTCTGTGATGCAAAGCTGTATTTTTTTTGCATAATTTCTCTAGTCTTAAGTCTCATGTAATCCTTCAGAAATCACACTAATATGCTAATTTTATGCTTTTTTCAGGAATCTTTTATGAATACAAAATTCAAAAGAACAGCATGTATTTGTAACATTATAAATGCCTTTACTGTCACTTTTGATTAGTGGTCGACCGATATTGATTTTTTTTGACTGCCGATGCCGATATCTTGGAAAGCAGGGTGGCTGATATAAAGCCGATATCATTTTATTTAATATTTAAGAAATTTGAAACCATTTGAAAATGGATTAAAAAATAAATGTGTAAAACAAACAAGCTTATACTTTAAATGACAAAGTATTTTTCACAAATAAACAAATATTTAATACAAATATAATTAAAAAGGAAGTAAACACTGTAACCAACAGGGCACTCATTATTCGGGAAGTTTGTGTGCATTGGGAATCACATTTTTTTAAAATAAAACCAAGGTAACACTCATTTTTACATGCAACACACAGTGAAAATTACATTAATATGACATTGGGCAAAAGCATGAAGCGCAGCATAATTTGAAATCACGATTTTAAAGTTTGTCGATCGCACATCTCCAGTGAAGCTGAACTCCCCTCTTGTCCGTATTCAATTTGCACGGACCGACCGCCATACAGAGTACACACGATCGTGCAGGATACAAATGCACACTTCATAAGATCTCACAGCTGAATTCGACTAATTTTGCAAGATTTTTGAAATTAGATATTCATTAGTCATTCAAAGATTTGTATAAATGCGTATTTGCTGAATGCTGATGGCAAACGAGAAATTATTATTATAATGTTTGCCTTTCTATTACTAACAATATAAAAGCAATCATTATAATACTTTTTGTATACATTTTAATTCCTTTAAACCAGCAAAGGACCAGCTTAAACCAGCAAAGGACCAGCTTAAACCAGCAAAGGACCAGCTTAAACCAGCAAAGGACCAGCTTAAACCAGCATCCCAGCGTCAAAACATACCTAACCAGCATATGCTGTTTTTTTCAACAGGGCAGAACGTTTCAAATAAATCGATAACGTCGTCATGAGGCAAAATTGCAATTTTGACTTTTAGTCAAGTCGTGGTGAAGTTGCCAAGTGTTGCGTGATTAATATTCATAAACCAAACCAATCTTGCTAATTTGCCAGCTGACGACGCCAACTTCACCAACGTCTGCAGTTCAGTCAATTAATATTCATAAGCCAATCCTTCGCTTTTAGGATTCGCTTATTCGCCAGATAAACCTCGCCAACGTCTGCAGTTCAGCCAATCGGAAGAGCCAACTGGACAACCGTAACGCTACCTCATTAATATTCATAAGCCAGTCCTCCATTATTCGCGGATAGAGAGCGCTGCTGCATACAAGAACAACTTAATGCTGAACTTTCATCTGTCACGACAACAAAGTATAACTTTCCTCCATGGAGAGAACAAATCTGCTGTAACTTGCTGTGAGGCTAAACCAATGGAAACAACAAATAACAACAACGAGGACTCGAAATTAACTCCAGGTATTTATAGATTTCACTAAGAGCGATTTTGAAAGGGTTTTAGTTTTGCCCAGCAGACAACAACACAATAAGAGTCTGTTTTTTTTTTTGTTTTTTTTTTGAGAGAGAGAATGTATTATTTATTGTTAGTTCTATTTTATTGTATTTCGTTTCCATGATGAGACTTCTAGTAATGTTGTTTTCTGATGATCGGATTTGAGTCCGTTGTGTTGAACAGATATAACGTTACGTGTCCAACAGCTGCTGATCAGCTCTGGGCTTTAATCACAGATGCAGGATAAGACCGAGGCCTTAAACACGTTTTGGTTAAACAAGTAAAAATGGTTTGTCACATAATAACACATTGCATGCTTTGCTATGCATTATCAGTGCATATGGCCTCGAGACCAATGAGTACTACATATACTGAATTATTAAAGCATCATATGTTTGTGGAAATGCCTTATGCAAAGCAGAATGTTATAATAACAGAGTTTTATGTGGTCTCCAATATCAGAAATCATGCACATTATGTTGGATCTGGAAGCTACACCCTTTTCAATATTCACATGAAGAGTTCAGATGCAAAAGCCTCTAATTTTCTCAAATTCTCATTTCTAGACATTCCGTCTAAAATGAGCATTTTTATCAGGCTTCTATATTTATGTTCAGTTATTTCACTTTAATTGCATAGAAAAGGACCTATTAGAGTAAAATTACTGAACCTAAATGAATAAAAATGCTCATTTTAGATGAAAATTTCAGATGGCACTTGGAGGCTTTTGCATCTGAACTCTTCATATATTAAACTTACAAAATCACACAAAAGAATTTTCTTCTTCAAGCAAGAAAATAAGGTCATACAATTATTAAAAAACGGACGAATATTAGAAGCTTTTTCTACTTGGACCCCTGTAATAAGCGTGTAATGAAAATGTGGAGGACTAGATGGGATGCAACAAAGTTTATGTGTATCTGTTATTGAACACTTACCCATTCTTTACAGGAACTTTGTAAATTTTTTGATTTTGCATTTTGTCATTTTATTGTTACAGACCCAGGAGGACAGAAGCGTGATCAGTCACCAGCAGAGAAAGTGTTTGGTCGGCAGCTGAGTGAACCCGGGCGCTTTGCATACGCTGGGTTATGTGGAGTGTCTTTGGGCCAGCTGTTTCAAGGACCTGAGCAAAAGTAAAAAAATATATATATATACAATAACAATAATAACACTTTATTGTGCTGTTTACTAATATACAGTAGCATTAGAAGGTTTGGGTTGGTAAGGGAAAAAAGTCTCTTATGCACACTGAGGATGCATCATTAAAAAAATACAGTAATAATAACAGTAAAATAGTGAAATATTATTACAATTTAAAATAAGTGTTTTTATTTGAATACATTTTAAAATGTATTTTATTTCTGTGATGCAAAGCTGTATTTTTTTTGCATAATTTCTCTAGTCTTAAGTCTCATGTAATCCTTCAGAAATCACACTAATATGCTAATTTTATGCTTTTTTCAGGAATCTTTTATGAATACAAAATTCAAAAGAACAGCATGTATTTGTAACATTATAAATGCCTTTACTGTCACTTTTGATTAGTGGTCGACCGATATTGATTTTTTTTGACTGCCGATGCCGATATCTTGGAAAGCAGGGTGGCTGATATAAAGCCGATATCATTTTATTTAATATTTAAGAAATTTGAAACCATTTGAAAATGGATTAAAAAATAAATGTGTAAAACAAACAAGCTTATACTTTAAATGACAAAGTATTTTTCACAAATAAACAAATATTTAATACAAATATAATTAAAAAGGAAGTAAACACTGTAACCAACAGGGCACTCATTATTCGGGAAGTTTGTGTGCATTGGGAATCACATTTTTTTAAAATAAAACCAAGGTAACACTCATTTTTACATGCAACACACAGTGAAAATTACATTAATATGACATTGGGCAAAAGCATGAAGCGCAGCATAATTTGAAATCACGATTTTAAAGTTTGTCGATCGCACATCTCCAGTGAAGCTGAACTCCCCTCTTGTCCGTATTCAATTTGCACGGACCGACCGCCATACAGAGTACACACGATCGTGCAGGATACAAATGCACACTTCATAAGATCTCACAGCTGAATTCGACTAATTTTGCAAGATTTTTGAAATTAGATATTCATTAGTCATTCAAAGATTTGTATAAATGCGTATTTGCTGAATGCTGATGGCAAACGAGAAATTATTATTATAATGTTTGCCTTTCTATTACTAACAATATAAAAGCAATCATTATAATACTTTTTGTATACATTTTAATTCCTTTGTTTAACAGTTCTATCTGATTATGAGACATTATGTGGACAGAACTGTTAACAAGGACAGCCAACATGAGGGAGAATGTGAGCACTGTGTTCAGGCGTCCCGCCACGAACGTATCGGCCAAACAGAAAAACTTATCGGCCGATATTTGAAAAATGCCAAATATCTCCAAGACCGATATATCGGTCGACCACTACTTTTGATTCAGTGTATCTTTGCTTAATAATAACTTTTAATTTCTTAGAAGTTTTTTTTTTTTTTATGGTTTGGGGTTGTGATGATATTTTCCCAATGCAGACGTTTTCGTGAGACGTATCTGGAGGGTCTTGTTCAGTGGCTGGATCTTGATGAGTCGGTCATGCCGGTTATGCAAGCGTTCCTGGCAGGGCTCGGGTTCGAAGGCACTGACACCTTCCTGTCCATCTTGCATGCGGAGCCGCTGCTCAGAGCCGGAGCTTTACCCATCACTCAGGTACATGTGTGACATTGACCCAGCATTAAAGCATCGTTCAGACTCTCAGCCCAAATCCGATTTTGTGCATATTCGGATGGAATCCGATCTAGACGACTGACTGTCCACACTGTGTATAGCAAATGTTCATATCCGAATTGTGTGTCCATAAGCGCTCTTACATTTTACGGAATGTGCATTGGTTTCTATGGCAATGCCGTTGCGTTATGCCAACGTTGTTACGACGTGACAACATGTTGCTGTCGCGCTGGATTATTATTTATTATTATGGATTTTGTCTTATGAGGCAGAAACGCAGGAAGCTGGAATGTGCAGCAGTGATGATGTGGACCACGCACAGCTGTGAGTATTTTGTGTATATGCAGTCTAGGTCAAGGTTTTTCCTTTCAGTTCAGCGCTTTCATTTTAGTTTTAGTTTCTAATAGAATTCAGATGACAATGAACCAGACCTCTGAGCTTTCAGCAGCTCCAGTGAGCATATAATGAATCAAATTGACATTCTCTCAACAGAGAAGAGTCATCAAGAAGACAGAAGAAAGAGAGAGGTCGTAAATTGCGCCGGTACCTGCTCATCGGACTTGCCACTGTGGGTGGAGGGACGGTAATTGGTGAGTCTGAGTGCCACAGGACGTTTGTTTTAAAATACATTGGCCATGGTGAATGTCAATGAAAACATGCGTAAAACCAGTTTATTTGTTTGTTTGTTTTTTTAGGATTTTTATTTATTTATTTATTAATTTATTTTATTTTTAAGACATTAAAAATGAAATTACCATCACTGAAATGCATCTGTATTTATTTATTACAAATATTTATTTAATTAAATTTTATTTTTATTAAAACAATTTAATTACCGTAATGTTTTTTAAGCAATTTACCTACCGTAATGCATACCGTGCGAGAATATTTTATTAGGGACTATTATTATTATTATTGTATTTATTTAAATTAAATATATATTTATTTAGTTTATACTTTTTAAAAAAGTATTACTATAATGCATCTAGAATCTAGATGTTTAATTTGTGTTTTTTTATTATTGTTATTATTATTTAAATATATATTTATTTTATTTATATTAAAAACTTACTGTAATCCATCCAGATCTTTAATTTGTCGTGTGTGTGTGTGTGTATATATATATCAGTTGTGCTCTTAAGTTTACATACCCCTTGCAGAATATGCAAATATGTTCATTTTAACTAAATAAAAGAAAATTGCATGTTATTTGTTTTTAGGACTGTCCTGAATAAGCTATTTCAGATAATAGATGTTTATATATACTCCACAATAGGCATATGACTGTATCAAATTTTCATGTTTGATTAATTGCTAATGCTTTTATCACGGTATACGGTATTATCATGGTATTGAAATTTAGTTGCAAAAAAGTGTTGTCATAAAGTATAACAGGTTTATTAACATTTACATACAATAAAGTAATACACAAAAAAGTATAAAGTAAAAAATGTCACACAGATTAAAATGCAAAAGAATTATAAAGACCATTAAGTAACACTTACTTTACAATAAGATCTCATTAGTTAACCTTAGTTAATGCATTGACATTAATAATGAGCAATAGCTACATTTGCTACAGAAAACTTTTTGAATTTGAAGATCAGGGTCAATTTAACCAGCTGCTGCCTCTTTATGGGGTTTTTGGGGGGTTATCAACATGTCTCTGAGAAACACACACTGCTTTCGCTGTAGGATGGATAATTTGCAAGAGATTATTTCCACAAAGCCCACGTATAGCCATCTGCTGATTCACAAAGAAAAGTCAATACAGGGGGACGATCAATATCATTGTGAAATCAGTGGAAGTGCTGTAATAATTTTGACATGAGGAACAAACTTGAATGTATTTGCTGATTTCTGTCTTTGAATGTGTTCTCTGCTGCATATGATGATGTGGACCACGCACAGCTGTGAGTATTTTAAAAAAATTTGATATTTAGGCAAAATAAGAAAATTGTACACATCTCCATTCTGTTCAAAAGTTTCCCCCCCCCAGCTCTTAATGCATGGTTTTTCCTTCTGGAGCATCAGTGAGCGTTTGAACCTTCTGAAATAGTTGCATATGAGTCCCTCAGTTGTCCTCCGTGTGAAAAGATGGATCTCAAAATCATACAGTCACTTTTGGAAAAGGTTCAAATATGCAGAAGATGCTGGGGGGTTTTTCTGAAGAACAGCAGACAGTTGAACTGCTCAGGACTCTCACAAAACAGAAAAACAATTGTGGATCATCCAAGAAACAACACACAGTATTAAGATTCAAGGGTATGTAAACTTTTGAACGGGGTCATTTTTATACATTCAGTTATTATTATTTTCTTGTGGAGTATATATAAATATATGTTATGTGAAATAGCGTATTCAGGACAGTACTAAATAAAAAAAATATTATGTTGTTAAAATTATTAACATATTTTTATATTCTTCAAGGGGTATGTAAACTTATGAGCATGCGTGTGTGTGTGTATATATATATATAGTATATTTATTTGGCTTAATGAATGAATTTAAATAATTTTTTGGTGTTATGGTAATGATAATTTGAGGGAAAATATGCTAAACAATTATTTAATTTATATTATTATTAGTGCTGTCAAACGATTAATTGCATCCAAAATAAAAGTTTTTATTTATGTAATATATATGTGTGTGTAAGAGAAATATGTTATGTTTATATATTAAATATATTTGTTTATAATATAAATTTCGTGAATCTAAATATATACATGTAAATATTTTCAAAATATATACTGTATATGTGTGTATTTATATATACATAATAAATATACACAGTACACACACATATATTATGTAAACAAAAACTTTTATTTTGAATGCAATTAATCACGATTAATCATTTGACAGCACTAATTATTATATTTTAATATAATACATTATTATTTTAGATGATTAAGTTACTTACTACTTAGTTCTTTCTCTGAAACCCCCCCCCAGCTCTTAATGCATGGTTTTTCCTTCTGGAGCATCAGTGAGCGTTTGAACCTTCTGAAATAGTTGCATATGAGTCCCTCAGTTGTCCTCCGTGTGAAAAGATGGATCTCAAAATCATACAGTCACTTTTGGAAAAGGTTCAAATATGCAGAAGATGCTGGGGGGGTTTTCTGAAGAACAGCAGACAGTTGAACTGCTCAGGACTCTCACAAAACAGAAAAACAATTGTGGATCATCCAAGAAACAACACACAGTATTAAGATTCAAGGGTATGTAAACTTTTGAACGGGGTCATTTTTATACATTCAGTTATTATTATTTTCTTGTGGAGTATATATAAATATATGTTATGTGAAATAGCGTATTCAGGACAGTACTAAATAAAAAAAATATTATGTTGTTAAAATTATTAACATATTTTTATATTCTTCAAGGGGTATGTAAACTTACGTGTGTGTGTGTATATATATATATATATATATAGTATATTTATTTGGCTTAATGAATGAATTTAAATAATTTTTTGGTGTTATGGTAATGATAATTTGAGGGAAAATATGCTAAACAATTATTTAATTTATATTATTATTAGTGCTGTCAAACGATTAATTGCATCCAAAATAAAAGTTTTTATTTATGTAATATATATGTGTGTGTAAGAGAAATATGTTATGTTTATATATTAAATATATTTGTTTATAATATAAATTTCGTGAATCTAAATATATACATGTAAATATTTTCAAAATATATACTGTATATGTGTGTATTTATATATACATAATAAATATACACAGTACACACACATATATTATGTAAACAAAAACTTTTATTTTGAATGCAATTAATCACGATTAATCATTTGACAGCACTAATTATTATATTTTAATATAATACATTATTATTTTAGATGATTAAGTTACTTACTACTTAGTTCTTTCTCTGAAATATGTCTAGAACATGTTCAGGACTGGTTTCATGAGATTTCGTTTCATTTGTCTGGTGTTAATGATCATGCATGTGTTTTTGTCAGGTGTTACAGGAGGGCTGGCGGCTCCTCTGGTGGCTGCCGGGGCAGGAGCGGTGCTAGGAGCGGGTGGAGCCGCTGTGCTGGGATCAGCCACGGGCATCGCCATCATGGCCTCCTTGTTTGGAGCCGCAGGGGCCGGGTTAACAGGTGAGCTAGCTGACCTAGCTGAAGCTGATAAAAAAACATAGTAACAATAATAAATATTATATTGAAATTAATAAAAAATAATTAATGATAATATTTGTTATTATCAGATGAACTATTTATTGAACTTTGGTGTATTTTATCATTTGTATTTATCAGTAGTGTTCATGGTATAAAGCCTCTTTAAAAGACTATTTATTACATTAACACGACTTTAAAGCAGTGTTGGTGTCTAAGGTTCTGTACCTTCTGGAGGGCAAGTGATTTATAACATTTCTTACACAATTCTTGCAACCAGAAGTGTTGAATCACTAGCTGCGTTACAGGATTGATCGATGAGCAGATGAATTAGCAGACTGACAGTGATGATAAAGTTACAGTCTGTTTCCTGGTTCAAATGGAGTTTTATATAATCCTGCTTTCATAGCACATTCTCAGCTTCCATTCAAAGTGAACTGAGCTCAAGGTTGTTGGAGTTGTTTGGTTTTTCTTCAAATGCAATTAGTGTGTGCGTCTGCCTCTCTTTATTTCTGTTTGCAGATCAAGTTTTCTGTGTTTCCTATCTATATTTATGGTCATTTATTGTATATGTATGAAAATACCAAAAGGTATATTTACTTTTGTTATTCAGGCTATAAAATGAACAAGCGTGTCGGCGCTATCGAGGAGTTTGAGTTTCTTCCGATGAGTTCTGGAAAGCATCTTCATCTCACTATAGCCGTGACAGGCTGGCTGTGCAGCGGCAAATACAGTGAGTGCCACAGTTAACCTTCTTATCTCCATTAAAATAGCCTTTTTTTCAGTTACTATTTTGTTTAAAACGCTCTTGTGTTAGTACTACAAATTGTATTTTTAAAATATATACTGTATGACGGTTATTCATTATTAAAGGAATGGTTTGCCCGAAAATGAAAATTTGCTTAATATTTACTCACCCTCAGGCCATCCAAGATTTAGATGAGTTCTAAATCTGCATCAGAGCAGATTTAGAGAAATTTAGCATCACATGACTTGCTCACCAATGGATCGTCTGCAGTGAATGGGTGCCGCCAGAATGAGAATCCAAACAGCTGATAAAAACATCACAATAATCCACACCACTCCAGTCCATCAGTTTATCCATCATTAAAATGTTTTCACCTTATGTTTGTAAGAAACAAATCCATCTTTAAGATGTTTTAACTTCAAATGCGAGTCCTCTATAATAGTAGAGGTCATAAAAAGCCATCTCATCTGAATCAGGAGAGAAATATGCACATATAAAGCACTGTTTATATGCAAAAACAGTCCAAAACAATTCTAAACAAATATGTCTCTGGATTTTGCTGTGAGAGAACAACAGGGGATCAACTTTTTTGGCCAGAAACAACGCCGGTGCGTTGTTTATATGTTTTTGCATATAAACAGTGCTTTATATGTGCATATTTCTCTCCTGATTCAGATGAGATGGCTTTTTATGACCTCTACTATTATAGAGGACTCGCATTTGAAGTTAAAACATCTTAAAGATGGATTTGTTTCTTACAAACATGCAGCTTTTCACAAGATGTTAACTGATGGAGTGGTGTGGATTATTGTGATATTTTTATCAGCTGTTTGGACTCTTATTCTGACGGCACCCATTCACTGCAGAGGATCCATTGGTGAGCAAGTGACATAATGCTACATTTCTCCAAATCTTGGATGGCCTGAGAGTGAAGACATTTTTAGCAGATTTTCATTTTTCGTGATTTCTTTAATGTAATCCTAAAATACCCATGAAATATTGTTCACACTAAGGTTCAGATTCTCTTGCCTATCACAGGTTCGTTTCAGGCTCCCTGGTCCAGTCTAGGAGTGTGTGGCGAGCAGTACTGTCTGAAATGGGAGTCGCGTTATTTATTGGACCTGGGCTCTATTCTGGATTCATTATGGGATGGGCTTGTTAGTGTCGTAGCTCAGGAGGCCCTCAAATACACAGTGCTCTCAGGTATGTCCACTTTACAAATGCAGGTACGCTATAAAAAAAAGGTAGAACTACTGGTTTGAGGAAAACCGAAAATTGCCTGTGCTTTATCTTACCTTATTTATGTGAGTGTTGAACTGTGCAGTCATATTAATTCACTTTATCTTAAATCGATAAAGCTTATCTTAAGCCGTCTCAGCAGGGATGTGTTTAATTCGGGAGAAGTGTCTCTAATTGTTGAGTTGGAGTTTATGTTTCATTTATTCATGTGTATTATATTAAATGAAGATCAGTGCAGGAATTTTGAATGTTTTGCTGAGTGGCCGGTGAAGCTTCAATCAGCGGCAGCATTCTCTCCCACGCAACTTTAGAAGCGCAACTTTTCTGCAGCTCATGGTCTATTTTAACGGAATCAGCAAATGTGTTCAGATTTTTTTAAGTCGAATGTTTATAAAAAAGATTTACATTTTAAATACATTCAAATAAATGCAAAAAAAATCGATTCATCAAAGAATCATAAAAAGTTGAATTAAGCCAGCTGTAAGAAAAAGTGATGAAGACGATGAAGATGTTTATTGCAGCATAGCAGTGACAAAGTACATGTAGTACCTTGGGTTCAACGGAGTCAGAATGAGCCACGAACATCCTAAGCTCAAACATTTTATATTCTATTACGTTCATCTTCCCGCTTCATCTTCCCGCATGTAAATTAAGTTTCGTCTTAAATGTAAATTGCGGATAACAATGAAAGTGATAGCCTTCCGTTCCCACATCTTTGGTAGTCTTTCAGGTGGAAACAACCAAATGTTAAGGTGCAATTATATTCAAGTACCCTTTTGGTCAGCAGATGGTTCTTCATGGCCTATAGGTGACGATTGACGAAGTAACGTTCAGGAGATACTATTTACATATTATTGAGATCAGAAAGAGTTATCTCTCTGATAATTAAGCTCTTTGTAGAGAAAGGAGAATAGTTTACTTGGAGTGGAAGTTTGGTCGAGGCAGACTATAATTTCTTACACAGCATATTAGAATGATTTCTGAAGGATCTTGTGACACTGAAGACTGGCGTAATGAAGCTGAAAATTCAGCTTTTCATCACAGAAATAAATTACATTTTAAAATATATGAAGTTAGAAAATTGTTATTTAAAATAAAAATTGTTTAAAATTTTATGTAGATGTTTTCAGCATAGCTATACTTATGGAAAATCACACAAATCACAGTTTTAAACAGCATTTTGAAAACAGGATTTCAAAAATATAATTTAAAATGAATAGAAAATAAGGCAACTCGTATAGTATTTTGTTTTCCTCCTGAGCAACAAATGACTTCATTTTTTTTATACCATGTTTAAACTGCCTCAAAATGGCTTCATTTAATTGTAGCATCATGAAAGCATGTTGTAATTGTCACACAGTGCATTAAGGTTTCCAGAATAACTGCATTGCTCATTCTCTTGTCTGTGTTCAGGCATAGTAATGGCTCTGACATGGCCTGCGTCTCTGCTGGCTGTGGCCAGTGTGATCGACAACCCCTGGGGAGTGTGCCTGAGTCGATCAGCAGAGGTGGGAAAACACCTCGCCCAGGTGCTCCGGAGCCGACAGCAGGTCAGAGTCGAGCGGAGTCCTGCAAGACATCGACTTCTTCAAGATCCTCCTTAGTCTTTGACGATTTCAGTTCAATGCGGCTTGAAATGACTAATTCGAGGAATGTTTGGCTCATACTCAAGGAGAAAAAAAAGCACTTCAGTTATATTCAGAGGCACAAACTCAGCAAAAATATGCAGTTTGCTGATATTTATATGGCCAGAAAGTCCGTTAGCTTGTAATGTAAATAAATGAGATCTTTATAACAGTATGACAGACTAATTACATCAAATGCATATGAAAATTAGTTGTCACTTTATAACTCCCAAATGTCTGAAGATGATATTTAAATGCTTAGTTTTGATGTTCAAGCTCTGTAGTTTCAAAACATTTAATGCAATGCAGTGCAATGATTGAGAGAAGCCTGTTGCATCATATTTGATGTATTTTAACATGAATATTCTGAAAAATTGTGCATGGATAATGAGTGAAGTGACATGTGGCCAAGTATGGTGACCCATACTCGGAATTAGTGCTCTGCATTTATCCCATCCAAAGTGCACACACACAGCAGTGAACACACACCCGGAGCAGTGGACAGCCATTTTTGCTGCAGTGCCCGGGGAGCAGTTGGGGGTTCGGTGCCTTGCTCAAGGGCACCTCAGTCGTGGTATTGAAGGTGGGAGAGAGCGCTGTACATTCACTCCCCCCACCTACAATCCCTGCCGGTACGAGACTTGAACCCGCAACCTTTGTGTTACGAGTCCGACTCCCTAACCATTAGGCCACGACTTCATTACTTTAATGAAGTAAACCTTCAGTTTATCTAGAAATGTTACTATTACAGTATTACTAAAGTTGATCTTATGTTTACTTTTTTTAAAAACAGTAAAGATTTCACAGCTAAAACAAATTTTTTACAGTTATATGCCTTTTATTTGCTAAAAAAATCAATAAAAAATAGAAAAAGAATAGAGCAAGCTAGTGTTAGAGGCCTTTTTTGCTTTTGTTAATTGTATAATAAATAAAAAGAAAACAAATACATAGAATACAAAAAGATTAGAGAAGCAAGTGTTAGTTTTTTTTGTGTGTTTTTTTTTTTTAAGAAAACAGGCAGTTAGTAAATAAATAGAGTGCAATCTAAAAGGGGCAAGTTTTTTTTATTATCATTTTTTTTAATAAAGAATAGAATTAGAATAGAGATTGCTAGAGTTAGAGGGTCAAATAAAGATGGAACAGATGTGTTTTTAGCCGATTCTTGAAGATGGGTG